TGGTATACGATAGTTAGGGGTTCCTTACTCATCCTTGGAAGTAGGGAAATGGGTGAGCAATTGCAAATTTTGTGCTAAATAAAACCTTCTGAGTGTGCGCTTATGTATATGTATGTGTTTATGTGTGTGTGTGCGTATGTGTGTGTGCGCATGTGGGAAATTGTGTGTTACTGTGTGTGTGTGTGTGTGTGCTGTCCTCAGCTATTACCCAGACCGAGTTATAATTCTGTCTTATACATCTTACACTACGTGTCATCCTTTCTACACAGACAGAGATACCATAAACGACTTATATTTGCAGTTTATTGAACTTCACATGTATTCCGCGATGTCGTAAATTTTTTGCATTTGTTCGCCCAAGGAGTTGGCAGCTTGCCGTGTAGACGCCTATCATTGGAGGCAGGTGCGCCGCCACAGAAAAAAACACAGGAAAAATAAGGGACAGGGGATGCTCAAACCCTTCCCTTCCCCTCCCCCTAGTAATTGGCTGGGGTCAAGGAGGAGCCGAAATGTAGTTTAATTGTGCAATAATTATATTAATTTTATTATTATAATTATTATTATTATTATTATTATTATTATTATTATTATTATTATTGGTACTACTATAGGTAATATTATTGCACAATTATACAAGGGTTTAACGCTGTGAGGCGCTTGGCCTAGAAAATTACAAGAGGCTTAGGCTTTGTTTAACTGCGCACACAACTAATTGATATCAATAATCATCAGTTTCGTTAGCAGGAAAAGTATTACTATTAATTAATACTATAATGTGCTGAATGAGAAATAAAACTGATTTATTTTGATTAATATAAAATGCTTTAAAAAATGCTCAAAAGGTGAATGTTTTTATTTGGTAGAGATAGATAAGAAAAGTAGCGAGGTGGCGGCGCAAAAAGCGGGGGGTGTGGTGGGGGGGGGGGAGGAGGTGGGAGGTTAGGGTTAAGCTTCTTTACACATCTGAGAGGGGGTGGCGGGGAGGGTGGTCTCTCATGTTCGGGTGCCTATGTTCTGGGTAAATTGCCTACTGACCATGAGGCCGAGTGGTCTGGAGGCATTGCGTCCGCTTCGAGTGCTGGAGGTCCCCTTTTCAGGCCCCGGTATAGGCTGGGACTTTTTTCACGCAGATTTCTAGTAATTTCCCCTGGTCTCTGGGTAGTAAGGTCGGACGCCCGGGTGCATTTTTGCGCACATAAAAATCTATTAGCAATTGAATTACGAAAAGAGTAGCCTAAAGGCGTTACCCAGGCAAAATTTTTAGTTAAAAATGTACCCAAAGTAGTTCAGGATTCTCGCCGATGCTACGGAGTTCGTACACTGCGCAGAGATTCTTCGGACTTAGGTTCAAGCTAGAAGTAGAACGGAGCAATTATGCGTTACTACCCGTGTGCCATGATGTTGATCCATTGTTTAAACCTAAACCTGCCAACTCACTAAGTCAATCTTCTTCTGCCTTAGGTATAGAGGTTTGCCAGAGAGATCGACAGACTTTCCTATCTATTCAGTCTGGGACTATCAGATGTTGTCTTTCCAGCCAACGCTGGATCGTCCTAGTGGTCTGGTTTCCTAGTTCTTGGTCTCCTATGACAACCGTGGTAGGCGATTCTCTACCATTCTAGTAATGAAAAAAAAACCGGAGAAGATTGGAGAAAGCAGGTTAAAATGGAGATAGTGCAGGGAAATTAAACTACAATCTTTTAACTCACATACACCATCACCTTATTTACAGTTTTGCAGATGTCAGGAGTATTATAACTAGCTCAAATAATATACAAAATAAGTGTAGTTTGATAGACAAGTCACTGTTTGTAAGTATGACTATGTATCCCACTGCTGATCGAGTGGGCAACACAGTAACAATGAGATACGCGCATAAGAAAACGTGTCCGACTCATATAGGGTAAGTAAAAAAAAAAAGCAAAAGATCCCTGTACACGCCCTTAGGCGCATCTGGTATATGGGAAGAGCACCCATATTTTTACAGGCCAATCGGCACTCGGTGGGTAATGTCAGCATTCGCCGGCCGTCTTTACTTTCCCAGGACAGCCCATCCTGGTACCCATTTGAGGCTGGGTCGACCTGCGACGTCCCATACCACGATAAAAGTCCAAGCAGCCCGCAGTGGGTTTCGATCGAGGTACGTTGGATTACGAGTCAGACTCGCAACGCCGTAGCCACGGACGCCGCTCATATAGGGTAGGCGTTTTTTGCTTTTTTTAAACAAACGTTGTATCCAACTGGTATGCACTGTGCCGACATCATAAACGCTTGTCGCAGAATTTCTGGATTGAAGCGCATGAGATGGTGCAAATCTTGGTTCCAATTAAAAGGATATTGCTGTCGTTCAGGTACGCTGATGTTTTAAGCCGCAGTCCCCAGCCCTCCAGTGAGTTCTATTGACGGATTTTGTTGAAAGTGGGGGAACGGAATAATCATAGCTGCTACCCTCGTGTACGAAGGTGGGTGTGTGTGAGGGTGGTGTTGATTTCCACGTGATGGCTTGGGAACTCCAGGGGAGCTGGAAGTTCGAGCGTCCGGTAATGGATCGCTTGTTTTCATAGTGCTTGGCTTGTAAAGTTTGGCCTGATGATTGGATGAAGCAAAAACAGGTGTTATACGTTCTTCTGTGCTGAGTACGACCTGTGTCCTGACTGGATATTTAATATTCTTGGCCAGCATGCTCGTCCCTAGTGTAGAAGTGTGAATCTGGTCCTTACCTAGAAGCTACTTCGGGTGGCTAGACTGGGCCTTAAAGAATGGTATGTAGTTGATAAAAGTTAAATTATTTTGGTTACAAACATTTCTAGCACCTTATTGTTTCTGTCAACCAGTCGACGCTGATGGCCGAGCATAGGCGTCATAATAGAGGAAGGGGGGGGGGGGGAGTTTAATAGATGAAGGGCATGTACGACACAATAAATCGAGTAGCGTACGCAGCTGGAAATATGTAATATTTTTATTGTTCATTGTGTCATCTATCCCTATGTGAACTGTCAGTTTCGTGATGTTGTTCTTTGGGCCCAGTCTCTTTATTATGTCTGTAGGTCTGTTCACCCCTGCACATGGCAATGGAACAACAGAAACTAAGTCGGTGTCTGATGTAGACATCAGATCACTATACAAACCTGTTAGCAGTGAGTCGCCAGTTACAAGATAGGAGGAATCTGGCCCTATTGTTTGTGTAAATTGGTAGCCAGAGCGTCTTGTTTTCTACGCATGCCTTTGTTGTCGATGTGACTTGTAGGCGTGGAGTGCAAGATGGCAATGTCTATAGTCGTGGTCTACTGTCGACTGACTGCTCTAGCACGCATCAGATCGATTCCTTATCTTGACGTCAATGGGATAAGCGCACTGTGGAGCATGTCAGCGACAGAAAGCCAATCAACCGAATGAATGAACAATCATTCGGTTGATTAGCTTTCTATCGCTGACTTCAATAAGGTTGTAATGTTTAGAAAACTTCAGTTTGTATCACCATGTCAACGACTGGCACACACTGCTTACTTACAGTAATTATTTTTAATGTTTGGTTTCCCTCTTTCAGAAGCTGTATTTCTTCCCTGAGTGTACCGTAGTCTCTGTGTAGCTGGTTATTTTCAATACTAGCTGGGACAGTCTCACTAAGTGTTTTTAAACTAGCCTCTATCACTTAAATACGATGCTGGCAGTCGCATGTGGGATGACACTGTTAGAAGGGCTTGCCTCTAGGTCTGTGGGTGTGCTTGTCGGTTCCATGGTTTCAGAGTCCTAACGCTGTACGATGTCTTGCAAACATTCTAATGCGTACTCAATAGCTAGCAGAACTAGTCGATCTGTGGCTACTTAACCCATGCTCCGACTGTAATAGCCTCTCATATCTGAGGACTGATGGCTGATGTGTTGGTTATAGTTAAAAATGTTGGCTGATGTGTTGGTTATAGTTAAAAATGTTGGCTGAGCAGGAGTGACAATTTCAGTTGAGGTAGGTATGTTGAGACTGGGTAACACTTAGAAACTCCTTGCGTATCAAGGACTGAGCTGTCAACTGAAGCTCAATTAACTCCGCCCTCAACCTTGTCTCCATAACATTTACATTACCATGGAGCAGCAGTTGTGTGTGTGTGTATGTGTGTGTGTATGTGAGCGTGTATTTGTGTGTGGTACAAATGTATTTATGTATTGGTGCCAATATTTTCGACTCTACGTGCGCACCCTGTCTGACCGCAAAATTAAGACTATAATAGGTACACATATGTAATTGTTTTCTCGGATTTTATCTTCCAGGACATCCTGCAAGCAAGATGCCATGATTTCAACAGCTGTATTACTACCACTGTCATATTTTGAAATAGATTTACAAATAACACCTTTTCGTCGCAGTGACGTAATGGCGGATTAAATATATATGTACACAACACGCTAATTAAAATCAAACAGGATTTTCTGAAACCAAACAAAGTGCCTCTACAAGTGATGCTTTACGTGAGAAACGAAGAAACAGTTTAGAGGTGCTTTAATGTCAGCACACGACTGATAAATACAAGCGTATGTACTACACAAAATGCTTGCTATGTTGTGTTTTCACGGTCGGTTGCTTTATAAATGGGGTAATTACATTCACAATTCTCACTGACAATGGAAAACGCCTGTGACCAGTGTATTTCGTTAACTTAAATACATAACCATATATTCAAAACTTTTGAGTTAAAAAAACAACAACGTTAGTTATGGTGTAATATTGTTTGTCAATAAGATCGGCTTAAAACATTTAAGCATCCAGTAAAATCCCGTTGAGAACAATTACATGAATCGTTGCAGAAAGAATCAGGACATACAGATTTGTGCACCTGAACTAACCTTGATTCAAGAGCATGTTGCATGGCTACTGCTACATGTTTATTGTTTAGTCTGCTACACAGCTTGTATTGCAATGTGTCCAGCATTACCAAATTTAATTTACACTACAGTTACTTTGGAGATCTTATCTGAAGCAAGACGTCAGTTAGAGGCTGTGCATCATGGATCTCTATAACATCGTCACAAGTAATGATGATCAGCCTCCTAATGACAGCTCTATCGATTTCGTAGTATTCAATAATACTAACAATATCAATAACGACCACAGCAACACAACGGAGTTATACTACCATCTGATTAAACAACCAGTTGGTATGATACTTGTCCTCAGTTTTTCATACACTATAGTTTTTTTCTTGGCGTTGCTGGGTAACGGAAGCGTCGTCATGGCGGTTTTCTTAGACAAGAGTCTACATACGCCAACAAATCTGTTTCTAGTCAACCTGGCAGTCGCAGATGTGCTTGTGGCTATTGTTTGCTTACCGATAACTCTGCTTAACAACATCTTCACGGGTAAGTACTATATGTAATCAACATTATCATTCAGTAAGTCGTTTTAAAAGCGTCACCCCCATTAGAATCTGCCAGGAAAGCCCTTGGTTCTTTACCAGTTCCGTTAGCTATGTAATTTCGTAACTGCACCAAATCTTGTTTTCGATTAGTGCTGGTCGCCCCTGCCTATTCTTTCAAGAACTTTGCCTTCCACTGTTAACTCTTTCAGGACCACATTTGTTCTGGCTTTTAGACAAACTTAATTTTGATCTAAATTTTTTTCATGTCCCAAACTAAATTATTACTAGTAGATTTGTCATTTAGATTTCAATCATAATATCAGGACTGTTGACATCATCTGGCAAAGATTCATCAACGATAGAGCAGTATGAACAGTTCTAGACATTTTCCTTATCATTTAGTTTAGAAAAATCCCGTAACAATTGTATGCCATCTAAATAATAGTTTAAATCAGAAAATAATGCACCGACCACGTCACGTCTTTAACGGATAGACTTAATCGCCAGTATACTGGCTAAACGTCCGTAAAGAGTTATACACTGTGGTATTTACGAATCTGATTTTAATGAATCATGTTGTGGTGATGATAAAATTATCTTCCATTTGCGGCGGGTCACTCTTAGCTCGCCGGTAGACGACTTCAGCGTCAGTCAAGACAGTATTTGGGACTGTATCTTCTGACGGCATTAACACGACAGGACTCCTTTATATATATATATATATATATATTTATATATATATATATATAATATATATATATATATAAGTATATATATTATATCAAAATGATGATGGTTTCTAGATATTTAAAAAAAAAAAAAAGTTAATTAATAGTAAGGAAAGTGAAAGTCTCTTTCACCGCTTGATGATGAATCGGCTTCAAAATCTAGTTTTTAAAATTCAGTCGGCAAGTGATAAGGGATATGATCAACAACATAACGTTTGGCTTTACTTCCAGTGACATTTCCTGGTACAATTTTAGACAGGGAGCGCACTAGGTCAGTTAAAAATATCTGCCTCAAGGCTTTCATGCTGCAGTCAAACATTTAGCTATACTACCCTGGTTCCTTGTGTAGATTAAAAAAAAAATATATATATATACATATGTGTGCGTGTGCATGTTTGTGTGTGTGTTTAATTAACTGACCTCAGTTCACTGAAACATTATTGAGACGATTGAAATTAAAAATAAACATACACTAGTGGGATAACGTTTAAATAAAACATACTACAACAAGACAAACAATCATCACTAATAACATGATATTGTAACTATTCTTTGTACTGGAAGAAGTAAGGGTAATGATCAGCGGAGTGAACTGGTATGATCGTTTAGCATCTGCTCTTGTATCTTTGGCCTCTGACTGGACATTTAGGTGCATATACCATGGAGATAAAAATCATAGATCAATCGATACATACACACACACACATACATATATATAGTTATTTAGTAGTATATATAGTTATATATATATAGTTATATATATATATATATATATATATTGTTAAACACAGTCAAATTGGCCGATCATTTAAAAAACAAATCCTGGCTGGCAACTAAACAAATAATGAAATGATCGTTGCTGGAGCTACGTCGCTCGTGGTTTGTGCAACACTAATTCATACAAACATGCGGGAAGTCTAAGTGAACGTGTGAGAATTTGAAAGCGGTCGGTGAAGAAATGTCGCAGATTATAGATAAAGACGGGAAATAACCATTTTTAATAATATAGATATATATATTATATATATATTATTTAAAAAAAAAATTATGAGGAAAAATGAACAGATGGAAGGAATACCTTGATGAATTGTTAAACTGTGAAACTCCACTTAATACCCACAGGAAGAGATATTAACATGTGAACCAAATACTGAAGAGACTGATTTAGAAGAAGTACTGTATGTCATAACACTGCTTAAAAACAATAAGGCAACTGATGCTGATGGAATTGCAGCTGAACTTTTAAAAGAAGGTGGTGAGTTTTTAAATCAAACTGGACATTTTTCAAATCATAGAGAACGTTTTTAAAAACCAAACTGGACAATTTTCAAATCAAATACGACACTTTTCAATTTTTTTTTTTTTTTTTTACTTATTTCTGGACACAGTTTGATTTTAACAATTAATACTTCCTAACACAGATAAAAGCAGGGAAGAACATAAAAACAAATCGGAACTAACGGCAGAGGAACTAGAACCAGGTATATTTTTGGATGAAGTAAAATATGACCTTCGAACCGCCCCTAGACTAAAGGCGACAGGTATTGATGATCTACCAGCTGAGGCCATCAAGGCAGCAGGAGAAACGGGAGCAATATGGTTAAAGAGAATATTTCAGGTGGCATAGGAAAATCAAGAAACACAATCAGATTGGCAGACTGCTGTCATCGTCCCGCTGTGGAAAAATAAAGGAAGTAAGAGGGAATGTACTAATTACAGAGGAATATCACTTCTCAGTCACACTGGGAAAATGTATGCTAAAATTATCGAAAAAAGGCTAAGACCATTGATAGAGTATCAACTTTCAGAAGCACAGATGGGCTTTCGACGAAACAGAAGTTGCACAGTTGCTATTTAAACATTGAGACAACTATCAGAGAGGGCAATAGAATATGATAAAACATTTTTGTCGACATTCATAGACCAAGAAAAAGCCTTCTATAGAGTCGACAGGAATATGTTGTGGGAATGTATGGGGAAAAAAGGGAATCAGGAATCATCTCATTAATATTTGCAAAAGCCTGTACACACGTAGTAAATGCTGCATACGATCGAAGGCAGGGCTGTCAAGAACTTGTATAGTGAACGATGAAGTGCGTCAGGGCTGTGCACTATCGCCGATTCTTTTTATAACATACATGGATACCATATGTAGCGAAACGAACTTTAATCATGAAGAAGATATTACAGAATTATTATTCGCCGACGACCAGGCACTCATAGCAGAAAATACTGAATGTCTACAGAACCACCTAAATCAAATTAGTAACAAAGGGGAGGAATATAATATGAAAATAAACACTACGAAGACAGAGACTATGATGATAGGAAGACGTAAAGACAATTTAGAAATAAAATTAAAAAACAACACCCTGAGACAAACAGAGGAATTTAAGTATTTGGGGAGCAATTTTCACATCCGACGGAAAACTGGACAGAGAAATTACCTCCAGATGTGCCAAAGCTAATCAAGTGATGGGGCAACTATCTCCCCCTGTTGACACACAAGCAGATATCTCGGAGTACTAAAGTGAATCTTATCAAAACTATTTTTTGGCCAACAATATGCTATCAATGCCAAACGTGGACACTTACATCCTCCAATGAACATAAAATTGTGACAACAGAGATGAAATGCCTTTGAAGAGCTGCAGGAGTTTTAAGGAAAGACAGAATACGAAATCATGAAATCAGACGAATTCTAGGAATTAAGCCAGTCTTACAGGTCATCAAAGAACAACAAATGAAGTGGTTTGGACACCTAACAAGAAATGCCCTGGTACTATCTGCCACAGCGAGCCACCTATACTAAAACGTTACAAAACGGGGTATAGAGCGAGTGATAAGACTTCGGAAAATATGGAGTGTGATAAGGGCATTAATGGGACAGCCTTACAGAAATGAAATCCAGTCTCTAATAGTGCTCTTGGCCGAGCTTATCAACGAACATTATCCCCCTCCCACCCCCCCCCCCCCCCCCCCCCCCCCCCCCCCCCCCGACCGACACTTCGAAGAGTACAAGGTGGAAGAGAAGAAGAAGATTCTTCCTAACAAAAAAAGTAATGGACAAAGAAAATCATATCTTACAAGATAAAAGGCTGTCCTGCTGCTGCCGTTGTCAAGTTCATCATCATATGGAGGACGTAATTTGTGCAATCTTGCTGTGTTACTGTTCCAATGCTTTCTTTAATGGCCTTGCTTAGTGTCTGTCGCGCGCCCCAATTGTACAAACTTAGCTCATCAGGAAGTTCTCGCTTTAACCCCGCCCTTCTTTTCCAGTTTGTCGTCCCCACTGCTTTCCAGGGCGTTACACTCGACGGTCGGGAAATAATGGATGCTACTAGTCCCTCCCAAATTTGGGACTGT